AGTGCGTACCTGCCCCTGCTTGGTACAGTCAAAACGTTTCACAGTGTCCCAGCATTAAAAAGGCAAAGTCAGCAAATAAGCTTATATAAAGCTTGTCAGAGGCTCTGAAGTAAATTCACATACGCTGGAACAAGGGAGAGGTTAAATCTTTCCTTGTGCCTAAGGAAGGAGGGGCTAGGCAGGGGAATTCTCAAGCTTTCCTCTTACAGGGGGATGAGATGCCAAAAGGCTGCACAGCTTCATAGAAGACGGGGTGAAATTGCTCGGTGTGCTACAAGCCTGCTGTGTCATCCAGTCTCTGTCCCAGAGAGCCAGCAGTAACGGGACAGAGTCTGAGAGTAGGTTTTTTCCTTCTGATCTGAGAATGGGCACAGATCACCTGTTGTCCAGACAATTGTCAGTGTGCAAAGAAAGAAGGGCTAAACCCTTTTCCTGGTACTAGTGACATCTTGCATTTTCTAACACTGCGAGAACTTAAACATCTGACTGCTTATTTGTTTTGCTTATTGTTTACTTTACTGCTCTGCTGAGCAAGGGCAATAGATCACTTTCACCTTTGTAGGTGGATTCAGTTCTGCTGTATTTAGGAGAATAAAACCTCTCACCAGCATATTTCAAGTTAATGTGTTGCTTTATGTTTTTTAACTGGAGTTTCAAAATAAGTTATATTTCCGTTGAGATTAGACTTTGTGGTTAATTTCTTTTTAATTAACAAGTCCTAGGCACCAAATTCTTTCCCTTAGCTATCACCTCATTCCTCTACCTCAGTAGTATTTGTTTGCAAGTATCTTGGAACAAAATGTGACCCTTAAATTGAAATCGGAAAGCTGGCTGAATTTCCTGAAGGCAAAAGCTGTTACAGTAACTTACAGGGGGAGATGGCAGAAGGATTTTCAGTTTTGCCAGCCTAAAATACACGCTTGCTTTCTGATTCTGCCTAACAGACCTAACTGTGAAATTGAACAATTTTGGGGAAGAACAGAAAAGCACAGTTAATGGTAATACCAAGAAAAAATTCTGAACAGCTTTGAAGCAGCTATAAAAAAGTGTTTAGTGCAATTGTGAAGTGCCTTTTACCAGTGCTCTGAACATCGTTGGAGAACATAGACCAGGTAGGGAGGCTGGAGGAGATCAAATGAGAAATGACAAGCCTTTGCCTATAAAGCTGTCAATACCTCAGAAGAGAGCTGAGCCAGCTGTACCTATTCCAGAGAGTGTAAAATGAAGACACAAAGGCTGTGCTGGTTTTAAGTTCATGCTGTTTTTAAAGAGAACTGGTGTTGCCCATCTCTGCTGGCTGTTTTCTGCTCCGCTGGCAGCACTGACCTGGCTGATTGATGTTGCCACTAATTTTATTTAATTTTCTTGCCAAAGATGTATCTTCTTCCTTCATACTCCCCCTTTGTTGCTCAGTCTGAGATTGATGTATAACATCAAAATAAATCCAGGGAACACCATGAGCCTCATAAAAAGTGTGCACACTTCTATGCCCGTGTGGTTTCCTTCCCTCTGATTCAAGGCCGTGTAATACGTGAGGGTGTTTTTGCGCTTTCTTTGATGTGATTAGGCTGCTTCAGACACTGGATTCAGTTTCTAAGATTTGGGAGCTGGATGTGGCAGGGTCAGGAGACCTGAAAGGCTTTTAGTTACCCGCTTGTAGTAAGCCACCTGCATGCTAAGACAGCCAAATTACCAGCAGCAAAGTGAAAAATGACAAGAGCATTCATTAAATGCCATGCCTGGACTGGAATCTGAGTGCACCGAGGTGTTTTTATCTCATCTAATGGGTAAGCGACAGCTCGGTAGTTCCTGCTGCATTTCCTGCTTGGCGGGGGCTGGGGGCTGCATTGATTCTGGGATAAAAAGGACTTTCAGAGCACTGGAAGGACGTGGTCCAAAAGAAGCCAAAGACGAGTACTTCGGCTCCAGCCTGTCGGCTTTGCCTTGCTGCGTTGGGTAACGGGTACAGCCAGTCTGTTACCTGCCCTTGTCATGCTCAGGGTGGCTGCTGCATGGGAGCAGATGATGGAAGGAAAGAGCTGGCAAAAAGAGGCAGGCAACTGCACAAAAGGGTGACGTGTGCCAGAGTTGGTCTGGTAGGAGCTGCAAAGGTCAGTATCGATAATACCAAGTACCCTTGGTTGGCTGTTTGATTCACTAGAGGGTTCAGCGGTCTTTGGCACATGACGCCTTTCTTTAGTTGTTGAAAACCAGCAAGTTCATGCCAGAAAAAAATACCATCGTTATTTTTTTCAGGAGATTCACTCTTCAACTATAAAAAGGTTCAATTCTTACAGGGAAAAAAAGCTCAAGAATATTTTTAATGAACACTTATTCGGGGGATAAGAACATTTGAATTTAAAATCCTGATCACCTTCAGACCTACATCCTGTTGTCTCAGTGACATGCCATGTGGGAGACGTAGAGCACTGGCCACCCGGTGCAAATATTGCAAGCCCAAAGACACTTAGTGAGGCCATGACGGTGTGGCTGTCTCCTCGCTCAGAGCTTGCAATGTTGGATTTTAGCATCTCCTGCCCCCCTGGAGAAAATTGTTTTGAAACCAAAGAAAAAGGCTTCTAGCCGCTGCTGTTGAGGAAAGCTTGAAAACATGAGCTGGATGCCTAATGGAAAGGGACTGATACGTTTTTGGGTCCTCCAGCTTGGAGTCATACCATGTTTGCAGCCTTGTGATGCTCAGGGCTTGACCAGGTCTCTCAAATGCTTGGCTGGGGCTGGACCTGGAGCCCCATGGCTCCTCTGAGGTGGCGGCTGCGGGTGGGAAGCAGGAGGGCTGTGGCTCATTGGGCTGGCGAGAGGGGCTGAAGCACAGGGAGCCGGTGGGTGTTCCCTCTCAACTTCTGTGGTATTACAGGACCTGTTGAGCCTCACTTCTTGGATACCTGTCTGACAAAGACCTTGCTTGTGTCATTTACTGTCATGTCGTGCCCTGAGGCCACTAAAGATGTGTTTAATTTGAAGTTGAATGTAACTGGAGCAGTTGGACTTCTTGTTGCTGTAATAATGATTTTCGGCATGATATTCAGCATGTTTCTTTGCTGTGCTATCCGCCAAAACAGAGAACTGCTCTAAGAGCTACAAATCCAAGAACTGCTGCACTATAAAATTTTTCTTTTTTTACAGATGCAGCAGTTTGCACAGCAGTTTGCGCAGAAGGGCACGAAGAAGGGGGCGTCAGTTGAATTAGTATTGCTGTGACAGTCTCAGATAGGGTGATGACACACCACAGAATGGTTTCCCCAGCGGGTGTTGGAGCAGCTGTCCCTACTAGGGCAGAGGCTCCAACACAGACCCAGCTTCAGATAACGGATGCAGCCCTCCAAGCCCCAGGCTGCAGCGAGTGCCTGGGGCCTCTCTGGTACCAGGAGAAATGGACCTCTGTCCTGCAGAAGTTATGCTCTCTTGGAGAAGCTGTGTCACCAAGTGGAGGAGTTACAGGAGAAAGTGAGGAGGCTGCGCAGCATCCTGCTGCAGAGAAGATCAAAGGGAGATAGACAGAATCTTCTCCGAGACAAAACAGCTCAAAGACCCCCCAACCCCAGCTCAAGTAGAGAAGCAGGCAGTGCCCACCCCTAATATTAAGGTAAGCGCAACCTCTGAGAAAGTGAAGGATGGAAGCTTCTGACACCAAGAGAAAGGCTCCTGCCCCCCCTAAGGACTTACAACTACAAAATAAGTTCACCACCTTCACCCCGATATCTGCTGGAGGGACAACACAGCAGGACATAAGCAATCCAGGAGGTTCCTGAAGTGTATTGACGATAACTTCCTCCTCCAAGTGATAAAGGAGCCAACAAGAAGAGATGCTCTGCTGGACCTCATACTCGCCAACATGCTCATTGGGCATGTGAAGGTCAAAGGCAGCCCTGGCTGCAGTGACCATGAGATGGTGGGGTTCAGGATCCTGACAGGAGGAAGGAGGGTCAAAAGCAAGCTCACAATCCTGGTCTTCAAGAGAGTGGACTTTGGCCTCTTCAGAGATCTTTGGCTCTTCAAAGAGCCCCCATGAGTACTGAGGGAGCTGGCAAGTGTCATTGCAAGGCCGCTCTCAATAATCTTTGATCGATCATGGCAACTGGGAGAAGTGCCCAAAGACTGAAGGAAAGCAAACATCACTCCTATCTTCAAGAAGGGCAAGAAGGAGGACCCAGGGAACTACAGGCCAGTCAGCCTCACCTGGATCCCCGGGAAGGTGATAGAGCAGCTAATCCTGGCAACTATTTCCAGGCATACAAACAACAAGAAAATCATCAGAAGTAGTCAGCATGGCTTCACCAAGGGGAAGTCATGCTTGACCAACTTGATACATTTCTACAACAAAATGACTGGTTTGGTAGATGAGGGAAGAGCAGTGGATATTGTCTACCTGAACTTCAGGAAGGCCTTTGACACTGTGCCCCACAATATCCTCATAGACAAGCTGCTGAAGTATGGGCTGGATGAGCAGACAGTGGATTGAAAACTGGCTGAATGACTGGGCCCAGAGGGTGGTGGCACAAAGTCTAGTTGAAGGCCAATAACTAGCAGCGTACCCCAGGGGTCAATAGTGGGTCCAGTCCTGTTTAACATCTTCATTAATGATCTGGATGATGGGGCAGAGTGTACCCTCAGCAAGTTTGCAGATGACACAAAACTGGATAACTAGCAGCGTACCCCAGGGGTCAATAGTGGGTCCAGTCCTGTTTAACATCTTCATTAATGATCTGGATGATGGGGCAGAGTGTACTTTCAGCTAGTTTGCTGATGACACAAAACTGGGAGGAATGGCTGATAAACCAGAGGGTCAGGCTGCCATCCAGAGGGACCTTGACAGGCTGGAGAAATGGGCTGACAGGAACCTCATGAAATTCAACAAGATGTTAAAAGTGCTGCACCTGGCGTGGAACAATCTAGTGCACTAATATGTGCTGGGGGCCACCCAGCTGGAAAGCATCTTGGCAGAAAAGGACCTGGAGGTCGTGGTGGATACCAAATTGAACATGAGCCAGCCATGTGCCTTTGCCACAAAGAAGGCTAATGGTACCCTGGGCTGCATTAAGCAAAGTATTGCCAGCGTGTTGAGGGAGGTGATCCTTCCCCTCTACTCAGCGCTAGTGAGGCCACACCTGGAGTGCTGTGTCCGGTGCTGGGCTCCCCAGTAAAAGAGAGACATGGACATATTGGAGAGTCCAATGAAGGGCCACAAAGATGATTAAGGGACTGGAGCATCTCACAATATGAGAAAAGGCTGAGAGAGCTGGGCCTGTTTTTTAGCCTGGAGAAGAGAAGGCTCGAAGGGGATCTTATCAATGTATAGAAATACCTGAAGGGATGGTGCAAAGAAGATGGAACCAGGCTCTTTCCAGTGGTGCCCAGTGACAGGACCAGAGGCAGTGGGCACAAACTGAAACATAGGAGGTTCTCTCTGAACATCAGGAAACACTTTTTTACCAAAAGGATGACCTAGCACTGGCACAGGTTGCCCAGGGAGGTTGTGGAGTCTCCAACCTTGGAGATACTCAAAAGCTATCTGGTCATGGTCCTGGGAAACTGGCTGTAGGTAACCTGCTTGAGCAGGGAGGTTGGACCAGATGACCAAATGAAGTTACCCCGTGGCAGAAGTTTCTCCAGGTTATGAAGTGAGGCGGTAGCTGAAGGGTGAGGGAGGCACAGTGGCTCTGTGGGCCACGAGCAACTGAGGACAGGTCAGAAGATGGATGTTAAGGGTCTTTGGTCTGGGGACCGTCCCTGTCAGGGCCCCGATGTTTCGGCTGACCGGGAGCTGCCTTCCTGACGGGGCCTTGGCTCCTG